CCAAGGTGGAGCTTGGACTTTGGCAGATCTGCCCCGTTGGTGCATGTTGGAGCCACTGATTTATACCCCCTCACAGAAAGATGGCACAAGTAAAAGTGCTCCATATGCTACTTTTTCCTGCGGAGCGGCATATGAAAGGGCTTCTGACCGTATAGATGGCACATTGTGAGGAGCCATCATATACACTCAGATGTGTTTTTTGTGTGTGCCATCATATATTATGCATTGAATTTGTGATATGAATCATGATGTATATAGGCATGACACACCGAGCCCATTGATGGCATGTGGGAGACATAGCAGGTTCAAATCAAAGAGGAATCAGAGGATATATAAGAGGGGTGGCGCAGGTGGGAGAGCTGGGATGATTGGAGCCGCTAAGATGGTGATAAAACGGGAGACTGTGAAGGGGGGTAGTGACAAGAGAGAAAAGGAAAGAGGAAGAGAAAAGAAGGAGAGGGAAAGGATATTTCAGAGTTGGGGTGGGGCAGGTGGGAGAGCTGGGATGACTAAGATGGCACATGCCAGGTGATGAGAGGGGAGGCTGTCAGGGGGGAGGGGAGAAAACGAATGAAGAAGATATAGCAGGTTCAAATGCAAGAGGAACCAGAAGAGAGGAAAGAACAAGGCAAGGAAAAGAAATAGGACAGATATACATGAGAGGGACAGTAGAGGATAAGAGACAAAGGAAAGAGGAAAAAGAGGAAGAGACGCGCAGGAGAGGGGAAGGATAAATAAGAGGGGTGGGTCAGGTGGGAGAGCTGGGATGATTGGAGCCACTAAGATGGCACATGCCAGGTGATGAGAGGGGAGGCTGTCAGGGGGGAGGGGAGAAAACGAATGAAGAAGATATAGCAGGTTCAAATGAAAGAGGAACCAGAAGAGAGGAAAGAACAAGGCAAGGAAAAGAAATAGGACAGATATACAGGAAGAAAGAGGGACTGTAGAGGATAAGAGACAAAGGAAAGAGGAAGAGAAGCGCAGGAGAGGGGAAGTATATATAATAAGGGGGGCAGGTGAGAGCCGTGGGAAAAAGACCGTGCTGCTGCCTTTTTTGCAATTTTTGCTGTTTTTTTTTGATTTTCTTCGTTTTAACTACCGAGCTTTGATGTGCCATCAAACCGGTCGAAGGGATCAGGCGCTTTTTGTGCCTTTTTGCAACTTTTCCCCGATTTTTTTGATTTGGGACATTTTTTCCCCCTGGTTTGCCATCTTATCTCTCGAGTTTGGATGTGCCATCAATTGGTGAACCGGTATATGTGTGGAATACTCCATAATAGTCCCAACAAGTGCTTGTCATCCCATATGAGAAATTGGCACAGAGCTGTCATCTTGCCAAGCTTCTAGAGCAGGCCATTTTCCGGCCACAGAGTGCGTGAAAGTGACGTTTGTAATGCAGGCTGATGGTCACTGCGGAGATGTCTTTGATTTTGGCCGATCTCGTTTCGGTGTTGAGCAGGGATCTTCAGCTCCCTTTAGCAGAGGATCTTGAATGATTGAGGCAAGCAAACCCGCAAACCCGTAGTCTCCACGCAAAGTGTCCGTTCCTTCCCTTTTAAGATGCCAAGACCGGAGACCTCTGAGACAATAATTAGGACCGGACCAGCGACTTTCCAACTTATGGCTTATCAAAACCCACACCTAGGTCGACCTGTACCAGCCCAACAGCTAGAAATTCGTGGAATTCTGATAAAGGCAATTGTTCTCTGCACATTGCAGCCATGTCGGATTCCTCTTCTGATTCGAGCTCATCGTCATCGTCGGAAGAAGAAAAGAAAAAGAAAAAGAAGAAGGATAAGAAAAAGGACAAGAAGAAAAGCAAAAAGAAGGACAAAAAGAAGAAAAAGGACTGTCAGCCTGAGTCAGTAGGTTGGAAGCTCATGTGCCGCCTCTTTGCCACTTCTTTCGTATAGGACAAGAAGAAAGATAAAAAGGAGAAAAAGGATCCATACTCGAAAACTGCCCAAGAGAAGGCTCGTTTAGAGGCTCAACAGCGGCTGATGGGCATCGACACGAACAAGAAACAGAAGAAGAAGTCCAAGAAGAAGATCCTCCGTCTGCATTTGGAGATGTCTTCTCTTCACTGGTGGGCTTCGAAAGTCGGACATATAGCCCTCGGCCCTCGGCGTTCCAGGAATGTGGGAGTTTTGGGAAGCTGAAGTTCGAATGACTTGGGGCATTTTGGGGCTGCTCTAGAGTGTTGGGGTTTCGGATATCCTTATATACACTTATATATTTTTTGGGAAGTATTGCACATAGTCCAGAACCTCCATGTGGCAGCACACAACACCTGTTACCAGTCCAATATCTACCACCACCACCACCACCACTGCTACTACTGTACCACCACTCACTACCACTACTGCTGCTGCTGCTGCTCCCACTACCACTCCCACGCCCACTACCACTACCACTACTACGACTACGACGATGACCACGACGATAACGATTGCTACGACCAACCAGTGTCCTCGCTACGATCACCAAGTTTGACAGGAAGACTTCATCCAGTGAGAGCTCTTCAGAGAAGGTCCGAAAGATGCAGGCCTTAAAATCCAAACCGAACGCATTGTCGTAGGTGCTTTGGTGAACAGGTTTTAGCAGAATCAAGGTTTTAAATCAGCATCAGACTTTGTGATAAAGGTGGACGAAAAGGCAGACCGAAAGTATTGCACACACACACACTTGGTAGAGGTGAGGGTGTTTCATCTGGTTGCAACATGCTCATCATGATTATGTTAATGGATTCGCAGGTATCTTCAAAGCAAGACGGAAAGAACATAAGCGCGCAACAATGGAGCATAGTCACACAATACATTTGTAAGACTACATCAGCATTCGTCACTGACCTCATGGAGATATCATTGCAAATGATGGTTCTCTTCGTTCCCCCTCGGCTTCGGCCCGTGTGTTCACCGCGTGTTCACCCTTCATCTGCAGGACCGAATTGAAGACCAAACGATGCAGCGCGAGCAAGAACTGGCAGAGGCCGGGCCGAGCGGCCCATGCGAGTTCGAGGTATCCGGACGATGTTGAGGTGCGAACTGCAAACAAACATGGAGTGCCACCAGCATGCCCATCCATTTACTATATAATAGTTGATTCGTCTTTGATTGTTTTTTGTTTCATATTTTTGGCGGAGCCTGGCTTGGTGGAGGGCCTTGGCTGTTCTCAACCGATTGCGTTTCTGACTTCCCAGCGGTTCCCGCCTTTCTCGAGGAGGCCGAAAAAGCGGCGGAACCTGTGCCGGAGAAGTCCTGGGAGGAGCGTCGACAGAATCCTCCGGATATGAAATAACATTTGTGCAGTGGCTTCAGAGTAGATGGCGCACACCCCAAAAGGTGGTTTACTGTAATTGATTTTCATTGTATGGATCCCGATCTAAAGGACATCTTGGGGTTTGTGCCATCTGTATACTCTGAAACCGCAAGTGGGCCTCCTGAGTGCAAGATTATTCAAGAGGCCCTGTTGGGCCTTCTACCATCTGGCAAATCTTGGTGGGCCTTGATTTTTGTTCAGGCTCGTGGCATGAATTTCCTCGTGACTGGAAGGTTTGAAACGGATTTCTGGCCTTACAGATGGCACAGGCACAGCTTTGTCGGAAGCCCGATCAAGAAAGAGATGGTATGAGTTGTAGCGTTGAGTATCGTTGAGTGCACTGCACGGAGCCAGGAGATGACCTGGACTGAGAGAGCAGATCAAGCGGCCCAAAAAGCGGAATCAGAAGCTATTTGGAAAGGCAGTGTTGGACGCACGGATGGACCAGATTTCTGTGACTCTACAGATTCTAAAGATGTTCTAAAGATGCTGTGATGCTGGGTTACTTCCTTCCAAATCAGCAACATGAACCGAGGCCAGCCCAACAAATCCCCAACGACCCTTTCCTGATCCCACACCATTCGGCGCAGGCGCCACCAAGGCCCAGGCCCGCAGCCTGGGGGCTCGGGCCCGAGACAAGGTGATGCTGCAGGCAGTGGAGGCGAGGCCGGAGATCGAGCTTGGTGGGCACAGAAGATCAATGGTAAAGCTCGGCGGTTGTCGACATAAAAAGCTATAGGACCTGGTAATGACAGCATGGTTGGATGGTGCACAGTGGTGTCCCTGCAGAATATGCTTCTACGAGACTCTTTCACCATGATCTAGTTCTTTGGCATAGCCATAGGCATACACGCTTGAGAGCCATGGCCCAAACAATGCAAATGCGACAGAAGTAATTGGAAGTGGGTTGTGATGAGTTTTGAGAACCCCTCAAGTGTGGAGTTCCAGTGAGTTTTCAACATGCAGGATGTGCTGCCCAAAGCACATGGGTACACGCAGGCAGACAACCGAATACGCAACCATGTGGCAGGCGGTTCTGCACTGCGAGTCACTCGGTATTTTTTTTTAAACGCCAGGATGGCTTCGTGACGACTTTGCCACAGACTCTTGGCATGAACAGGCGGCAGTGGTGTGCTTTGTCTTGCCAATGGTTTGGTTTGATCCTTCATCTTGCAAGGGCACTTCCAAGATTCTCCTCCATCACTTCTATTCACTTCGTATGTTCTTGGGATTTCTTGGGTCCAAACGACCCCTTGAATGAACCTTTCAGACTTGTTGGGCCCAACGCTGCACAAACAGGAGGTGGCAAAAACACGCCAATTTCTGAAATCGTGTGAAATCCTATGCGCCTATGGAACCACTCCAAACATCACACGCCTCAGCCGTCCCATTGGACTTGCCCAGTGCTGGGCTGCGGAGTGTTCAACCATGTTCAACTCAGGAGGGCCAAGTTCAACGCTGCCACCGGGACGCTAATGAAAGGCTGATGAAAAGGGGGCACCGGGCAAGCCGAGAGATGGCATTGTCCCAAAGAGGGTGGCCTTTGCAGTTAAGCTGTGGATGAGATGTAGCAGAGGGCGGCCGGGTCCAATTCGGACTAGGCCGGGTAGCGGAGAAGAAACCCAAACGATGTGCTCATCGAGTAGCAGCAGCATGGAGAAATCAAGTCATCGTTTGTTTGGATGGAGATTTGGCATTGCTTGTGTAGGGGCATGTGGCGAGGCCAGCATAACAAGCTGGAGATCCTTGACCCTTTGTTGGTGATGTTCACGTTAGAGGCCTCAGTCGTGGTGACCTACAAGACATGGCCCTTTGTTTGGGGTTTGGACTTCAGCTGGTTTGGCTCAAAGACAGTGAGGCAAAAAAAGCAGGCTGCAGGAGTCTCGTGCTTCTGCTCTATTCGCACCGCCATGGCTGAGGAGTCGCCATTTGCGTCGTTTAGCTTGTGAATCTTGTGACAGCCTGTGGGAGGATTGTGTGGCAGATGCTGCAAGAGAGGCATTTTCGCTTTGCAAGAGATAATTACACACCGGTGTGAGGTTGACACACGGATCTAGAATCATGCCGATAACATCCGATGACACCACCTTGTCAAGATTTCTTGACCAGGACCTCCCCGACCGCATCGTGCGCAGGAGTACAAATCCCGCTTCCAGGCGGCTCTGGGCGAGCTCAACTTTGGGCAGCGCTGCCATAAGTTGGCCCAACTCGGCAAGGACAGCGGAGGGTTGGCCGTGGCATTGGGTGGGAGCAGCGATTGCTTTCCACCCCGCCTCGTTGGGCGTGTCTGTTTCAGCCCACCACGCCCCAAAGGCCATCACCTCCCCACCGTTTCAAAGCGGCGGCGGCGTTCGTAGCGGCGTGCGTGGAAGGTCTGAAGTGAAGTAGGTAGGGTGCTGGTGTGGCCGCCATGGCGCAGGAGATCAAGGCTGCCAAGCCGGCAGATCTGCAGGTGAGGAACGAAGATGGTTCTTCTGGAATGGAACATCCAACGGCCAACAGGGGTGAAGAAACAAATTGCATAAGGCATAACAAGGCAAGAAACAATAACATTGATTTCTGGCCTTTGGTCGGGGTGCTTTGAGCCATGCTTTGCAGGGTTTGGACATGTTTGGACCCACAGATTTTTGCCAGCTCCGGAGCCCCTTGATCGCCTGCAGGCCATTTTGGATGGCCTGGTGCCGGACTATGAGAACGACGCTGCCGGGGTGGCGGAGGTGATTGGCAGATGTCGAGAGATTCACATCACAAATCCACATGTTGCCAAGTCAACAGGGCAGAAATATAGGGGCGAGAGGTTTGGATTGAACATAGAAACATTATGAAACCCTATCAATAAAACATATAACTATAACTATATATATAACTATATATATACAACAATTCGCACACGGTCTCTTCCTGCCACTGGGGTAGTAGTGATGATTCCATTGGCCCAATGAAAAACTATACTGAGTCTGAACATTGATGTGCGGTCAGAAGTGCAGGCATTCTCAGAGAAAGCGCGCCTGATCGTTGCCAAAGCTGCTGGATGTACAGGTGAGACTGCTACCGGCGGTAATTCAGTTCATCGGACCCATCGGAGCCAACCGCTGAAAACAAACAACCATGCTGGATTGGCTGGACAGTCCTCACTAAATCACATGGACCGGTTGACACGATAACTCCTTAAAACCTGCACCAGTTATTGCTTGCAGGATATGCCAAGAAGTTGCTGGATGCTCCTTCGAAGACTGTGGGTTTCTCTGCGGCCACTGGGGGCTTGTTGACACCAGAGGATGCGAGGACAGCCTTCCTCTCGAGCACCTTAGCTAGATGGGAGCGAGAGAAGAAGACTGAACAGTAGCTGAATTTTAATGCGTTTCCTTTTCTCAAGCTTCCAGTTCCAGTAGTTGTCCCTGCTGCAAGTTGTCCCTTAAGCTCGGACGGTGTTGGAGGTGACACAAGCCGCAAGATGAAGAAATTCCTTCTGCAGTGCGACAAGCTGGAGTCCGATAAAGAAGTGCTGGAGCACGCGTTTGAACTTTTTGGCGGGGCTCTTATTGGACCGTACGGCCTCTGGACATATTAATAGCTAGCTAGAAATATCTAGAATGACGTGCTTGTGGATGAGCATTCCTAAACTTTAGGCCGTAAATGGTTTCACCAGCTAAGTTCAAAGGACAACGAACTTCTTGAATTAATATCAATCAGACACCAGCACCAACTTTCTCTACAAACAACACCAGTGTTTTCAATGATGTGAGTCCAACATGCTAAAGGCGGGACCCGCGACTCGTCATTCTCCAAGTGTCCTCCGTCGCAATTCGCCACAGGCCAAAAAGACAAGGAGATGTTCTGGCCCCTGCTGGCACGTTCAAAGTCGGAGGCGTACGAGTCGGGGTCGTTGGCCTAAAAGATCTTACGACAGAACAGTGGGCACTCAAAAACCATCAAACACCCAATGAATATGAATGGAAGTAAATAGAACTGTGCTCTCATCGCCCCTTGCCGCGGTAGTTGGCTGGATTCCTCTTCTTGAGCTATGCCCATCGCTTGGGATCAGACATTCCCAAGTCCTGGTAGAAAGGAGTTGCTGGAGCAGTACTTGGAGGAGGATGCACCCATGCGTGAATGGCTCAGCGCCAACCACGACGACAAGGCGGCATATTTCAACTGAAAGGTGTGCACTCTGATATGTTTGTATGGTTCGAACCTCTTGATGCATATCACCACACCACACAAAAGAAAGCAGTGCGAAGATGGCCCAAGAACGCACTTTTCCCACTTGGGGTTTTGCCTTCCCATGGGTCACCGCATCTCAGCTTCCAGGTGCCAGGCCTGCCACAGTTGGCCCGACGCTTCCCAGCCTTCATGGTGAAGCTGGTGACGAACGGCACACTGAAGTGGCGCTGGTATTGGGTCACTGAAATCCTCGAGCAGGATCGAATGGGATGAATCGGATTCGGATGGGATGGTCGGTGAACCCGAAGCATTTCATGTACCAAAAGCTGGAAGACTGCAGATGGGGTAAAAGCGCCTTGGAGTGGAGCATCACTTGGCTGAGGTGAACCCGTAGATCATGATTATTCTGTCTCATGATGCAACTCGGAGATGCTCTCCTCCAACTCTGGCGCACCTGGCCCACCAGGATCCCATGCCCGTCTTGCGTGCGACGCTGGTGGAGAATCACATGCAGGGATCGGGGCCAAAGATGGGCTATTCGCCCACCAAGAGAAATCAGGAGCTTTGTGGAAAAGGATGGAGATCAGGGGTCCAAGTGTGTCGGGTGATGCAAGGTTCTGGCCTTGGAGCAGTTGACTGGCTCGCTTTGGGAAGCCTTCCTTGATAGAACCATTTTCTTTCGTTTAACATTGTGTGGAGGATGACGGTCGTGAGGCTGTTGGTGCTGCATGTTTTTCGACCTTTTTTTTGTGGAACATGCGGTCAGACCGGCCTTGCTGGACCTGTAGGACTTCTACTCGACCTTGGCCCATTGGGGTTGGCGCCGCAAGCCGGAGATGATGTTGGAGCTCATTGAGGAACTGGCCGCTGGAACGACGTACCCCGGCGAGGACTTGGTTCCCAGTGAACTCGGTCTTCCTTATACTTCGGCCCTGGAAGTTGAAAGGTTTGAGGCCTCCGGATTGTTGTAAACATATAGTTGACCGGTACAGCACCTACACAAGCAAGAGTTGTTGGGCAGACGTTCATTTCTAGCTTTTTGAGCCACGTTTCAGCAAGCTTTGTGGAGATTTCTTGGATGCCCTTGTGGTCCCTTCGTGCTTTTGGTGGAAGGCCGAGGCCTTGACATGTGAAGCCAAGAAGTGTCGAGACCCGGGGATGTAAGAACGCAATTGCACAGGAAGAACCAGTGTAGGCTTGCAGGGAAGGGAGGGTGTCATGGATCATGAATCATCATGAATCAATACCTGGTGGCAGCAGTACATGACTCTCGGCAGCCCAGGACGGTCAGCACTGGGCAGTTCCGCAGCAAGGGCCGCGGCAAGGGGATGGTCCTCATGCAGAAAGGGCGTGGCAAGGGTTCGTCGAAGACCCTAGGCGCCCGCCGCCAGTGCGGGGGTGGAGTGATGAGATGCCAAGTGGATGGCCGAGTGGCAAGTATTGACTATAGTCTTTGACTCGAGGTCTCGTGGATGTTTAAGTGGGCATGTTGGGAATCGTTACCTTGTTGGAAGAGAGGTGATGCCCTGTTTTGAGATGCTGATGCTGGAGTTTGAGTTTCCTTCGAGTATTTGGTGCATTTCTACCGATCTTGAGCCCGTGGACCTTCCCTTCCAAGCTCCAAAATGACTCGGTGGCCTGGTAGTGCCCGAGTGTTGGGGATTCAATTGACGAATCGTGATAGCACATGGCTCCTGGGAATGCATCTCTTCTTGAATGCCCCAGTAATACCCAGCGAGATTGTTGACGTAAAACTTGCTTGCAAGATCTGAATTCTGGGCCGTGGCCAGGCCGAGAGGAGTTGCCGGGTGTCGACCAGATCATCCGCCTGAGCCAGCAGGTGATGTCAGTGCACTCCACGCGCCACCCCTTGACGACCAACAAGAAAATTGCCTTGTTGATGAAGACACTCGAGCGGAAGGGACATGCGGGCAGAAGATGGTTTGTTGGGAGGTTCAGGGAGCGGACAGCTGTCGAATTTGTTTAAAGCCTGGTTTGAGATGGTTTGAGCCGCCAAACCTTTCTAATGTGGTTCATCATGGTTCCGCAACCCTACTAGTACAACACAGAGCTTACCGTGACCTTCCATATACTCGCTCAATAGATTTGATCATGAGACTTACAAGCCGGGTGATGCCTCTTGATCACCCATGCGAGCTATCCGTGGCTGGTGGGGACGTGTAGGCGTCACAACTGGTCCTTGTTTCAGGTTGAAGGGTGCTCGAAGATGCTCGAATGATATTTTGATCCTTTAGGATGGTATTGTGATGTATTGTGTGTGTAGATGTGCCAACGTATTATATATATATATGTTTAAGACGCACACAGATGCACACATCTACACCTTTCGCATTTTTGTCATATACTGTATACTATATATATATAAGACACATTTGCATTGTGCCATCATATAATACATACATATTAGTAAATCATGCTTGGGAAGCCGCGGTGATGGCCTCCACTAATCTTAGGATTTGGTCAGTGCTGCCAGAGTCGCACAAGAAGGAGCAAGTGGCTTCACGGCCTCCTGGTGTCAAAGACTGTCAATCTCATAGTCCACCAGGCTGGTGCCACAGGTGCCAAAGTCGCGACATCACTGTCTTACTCTTGTCACAAATAATTTGTCCTCCGTGGCACAAACGCAGCACACCCTTCCCTACCCCTCTCACTCTGTCGGTTTAGCTGGAGAGAGACCCGGAGAGTCCCAAGGTTCGCTGACTTGTTGCCGAACTTCTCAACAGAAGACCACCGCAAGAACGAGATCACGAACCTCATCGATGCCTTCTGGAAGATTCTGGGTGACGTAGGTGCACAGGGTGGGTGTGTAAACGTGACGTTGGGTGGTGGACAGTCTTTTTTCGATGCCCTCCTGTCATTCTTTGTTCACTTTAGGTTGGAGGCTATTAGTCAATATTAGTAACTCAAAAATGCTTGTTTTAATGTACGTTGGCTCATTCATTGTCATTTGCCAGTTACTTCACCGTGTGCGCAGAAATTTTTACTAGATGTCTCCCGGAGGTCGTTCGGACCGTCAGATGCTCTTGGTTGGTCCCTTGGTGGCGACGGGGGGGCCGAACTCTGAGAAGAAGCCCACGCAGTGCACAGAGTTCTTGAAGCTTTTCACCAGGCGGGACCTTTTCTTGCTTTTTCACCACGCTTGCGCGTGCTGCAAATGTCAGTGGGCTCAAAATTTTGGACATCAGATATTAGATATCCCTTACCGGGTTCCTTGATTTGGCAGATTCACCACTTTGGTCTCACAAATGCTGTTGCAAATGTATGTTGCAGGCGTTTGCCACCACCTCTGGCCGTTGAGCAGTTTTTCAAGGTCTTGGAGGAGTTCGAGGCCACGTCATCCTGCATTCAACCAAATCGACAGAATGGTGAATGGGTGTGGAATTCAGAGCCCTTCAACAGCGGCCGAGGTGTGCCAAGTAAGAAGTGGCACTGGTAAGATAGAGGCTGCCAAGGTGTTGAGATGGTTGTTACCTGCATAAGTGAACATCAAACTTGGCAATTCCGTGCATTTGTTTGCACTGTGGCCGTGATGGGTACCTTGTAGAGGAGGGATTTGGCGATCAGCCGATCAAAGCTAGGCCGCCACTCCTGCTTACCAGTTCATCCAGAGTGACATTTGCAAGTCCAGCAACGGCCGGCATGATGCTCGGCAAAATCTTGCACCAAAAGGATCCAAAAGGTCTTGCAGAATCCAATTGTACATTCAAAACATTGCAATGCATTCAAGATCCAATTGCCAGAATTCCAATGCAGAATCCAACGCGCAAAGGTTCCAAAAGCATTGGAACCTCATGGAACATTCACAGGATTTAATTCCAACACGCTGCATACCTACAGCAGAGTGCATGCCAAGCTGCCTTTTTTCTGGCTGGCAGCTAGCTTTTTCCTGCGCGTTAACCTGTCACCAGCCTGAGGACGAGCTCATGAAGAGTGTCTTCCAAAAGTACTTGCTGAAAGAAGACGAGGAACATGATCCGAAGATGATCGAGTCACCTTTGGTGATGTTTCTCTTGTTTCTCTTGTTTATCTTTTTTCGCACTGACCCGAGTGTGAAACAAAGCATCGTAGCTTGACCAATTCAGGGAGCTTCGTAGCCTGGGGAAGCGAAATTGCCCATTTCTGAATCGATCGATACTGATCTTCACCAGTTTCAGCTGAAAACTACATAGGCCAAGCAATTTCAACAAGTACCATGATCAGAGCAAAATTTATGGGGCACTGTGGGCAGCTCAGTCACAGCGCCTGCCCAGGGCCCTGTGAAAGCGGCAGAGATGTTCAAGGTCTTGCTGAATGATGCCCGTTCAAGAGATGTCATCCAGAGCTCATTCGACATCCTCACTGACCATCTAGAAGGCGGGCCTCAGGCGGTGGTGACAGTGACAGGAATTGGCAGATTCTGCTTCTTCTTGTTCTTCTGGCTTTTCATTGCTTCTCTATGATTTCTCCTTTTTTTCTTGTTTCTTTTACAGAAGGCCTGGTTTTTTTTTGGTTTCTGTCTTTGTAGACAACTTTTCACAAATACAATCAACACCACAAAAAACACTTAATAATGTGCAGTAAACAACAAAAACTTCGAAAAATACACAAAAAACAACAACACCTTGGGAAAATCAATAACAACCTAGGAAAAACCTAAAAACAAAAAACATCTTGGGAAAAAGCAAAAAAACAATTCTCAGAGACTCTTGGCTGGACCCCCCCTTTCCTCAAGACTTCCCCAGAATTGCTTTTTTTGTGCTTTCCCAATGTTTTTTTGTTTTTTGTTTTTTCCTAGATTGCTATTGGTTTTCTCAAGGTTTTGTTTGGTTTTGTTTCCCTATTTAGATCAATCTGTGTTATTACTATTTCGTTCAACCTTCAAGCATGTGAGCCTAAGTCTCACCTAAAGGCATATGTTCTTTGCTCTTACAATGCATTAACTTCTGATTGGTATCAATGTGGTTGCCAATTGCATGTCCAATCAGCTTGACATGAAACTGTAATGACACCTTCCAATTCACATGAAACTGTTATGAATCTGTGTAAGCTGTAGTTCTAATTCAATGCTTGTTGCTTTTGCTTCGGCTTTGTAATTTCGCAGCCTCCTCGACTTGTGCATTTTGTAGCTCAAGCGTTTTACATCTTATTCTGGCGAACTTCTAATTCCTGTTTTTCTTTTGCTCTTGGTTTTTTATTAAAACAATTAACTTTCCTGCTTCTTGTAAACTTGTGGCGTATTGTTTTCCTGCCGTTCTTTTTGGGATCAGTATATATAGTTGCCCTTTCTATACCTTTCCCGTTGCTTGTGTTCTGCTCTACTGGTTGTTGTGTTTTGTTTCACCCTAAGGCGAAGTGCATCATATGAACAGAACTCTTTCATTCCTTTACTCCCTTCTCGATTGTGATACGCTTGTCTCATGTTTGTTCGCCCTGCGGCCGGAGTTTTTGTTTTTGCCGCAGACAGGCCCTAGATGCCGTGAAATAGTCATGGACATGGTCCTGGACACTTATTTCTTTCGCAAGCAGCTAGCTTTCCACTCCCACCCAGGAGGAACTATAGAGAACCCACGACCGCACAAAAAATCCTTAAATGAAACCGCACCCTTTGTACAATTCCCATTTGAAGCGGAGCTATGCGTAGATTTTGTCACCCACCAAACATCATGCCATCTGCCTCATGAAGTCGTCAACCGAGTCATGGCCGCTGGTAGGTCACACAGAGCTGGGGCTCTTGCACACGGTGGTGCAGCGCATGGGCAACTTGGCATGTTCGGACCATGGGTGCAAGGCACACCAAGTGCACCATTTGACCTGTGACTTGGTGCGTTTGACCAGCAGGACTCACACCTAGAGTGGCAATTCCCCTTTCAAACTTACAGCACATGATAGTGTTTCCTTCCAAGCCTTGAATTTTTTGGGAGCTTAAAGGCTCCTCAGTGGAGCGTTTTCGAGGCGACGTTGGACCATGGATTCCGCTCAGCAGCTTCCTTCTCCATGATTTCCGCTAAGTCCATTCCAACTGTGCTGTTTGGGCGTGTCCCGCAAAATCCACGTCTCCTTTGGCAGATCCGGGTCCCAAGGCGATCTGGAGAAGCAGAGCCGGAAGAAGGGCACTCGTGAGATCACCCCAGAGGCCTGCGCCGAGAGAGAGAGAGAGAGAGAGGACGCATGCGTGGACCATCCAAGAAGTGGGATGAGAGTGGTCATGTGTTTGAAATGCTCCATGGAGCGCACGATCCAAAAAAGACGGTTCTGTTACTACTCGTAGTAGCTTCTTGTTACCAATGGCAATGGCCCCTAACCTACTAGCGATGGCCTCCAACCTAGTTACTAGTAGCGATGCGCTTGTTACTAGTAGCTTCTCGCTACTAGTAAGGTTTAAGGAACTTGACCATTTCGAGCCTTCTGGTCCGTGAAGTTGCGCCTGCTCGGCACTCAGAGCTGGGCTGGCTTTGTCAGACAATGTCGTGCTTCCCAAGCGTTCAGCTTGACTGCCGGATATGAGTCTTGAGTCATTGGAGTAGCCAGGGGTGGGTTGGGTCGGACGCACTGCGATGTCAGGAGACATTGGCAGTGCCCATCGAGTGGCTCCAGTTTGTGGAGCTGCCTGAAGAGGACAAGGGCAAGGGTGTGGCTCCTCACATCCACTTCCTCCTGATGGCGCCTCGTCCAATTCCCCATGGTCACCTGAGCGAGCACTAGATACGCCGTTGCATCATTGTCAGTTCACAATGCAGAGAACCTCACCGAAGGTCACCGAAATGCTCCCCGAGGTCTTGCACACCGGCCTTGGTGAGACAAACTTGTTGGGCTCGATGCTGCAAAAGTTTGGCAAGGCCTTTTTTTGGGATTGCTTCGGCCACGTCCTGTCAGCCGTGCAGGGCAAACTCTTGCCAGGGGAATCTTGGTGGAAAAGCAAGACGGGCCAAGGGAGTTTGCTCGGCTTGGTGCCCTGTTGATTGGCCGGTTGCAGCGTTTGGGGTCGGCTAGGCGCACTTTGAGGGAAAGGAAAAGATTGGTTGCTTGCTTTGTGTTGCATGAGATTTGGGTTCCAGAATCCAGTGATCTTCCCGGCCAGTTTGGACACATCACAGCAGTCCGTCACCTGCTGCGATGCGGCAAAAGGTCAGCCCCCAACCACTTCAAGTTGCCCTATCATCCTGCCAGTTTAGGGAGGGAGTTGCTGAGAGTTTATCCGGTCCTGAGGCTGTTCCAGCGCCGGCCTTGCATGCTCTGGCGAACCTGAACGTGAAGGTCATGCAGGTGAACTCGCCTGCCTACTTGTCTCGGGGGTGGAAGACCTGGAACGATCTAAAGATGTCCCTTTGGATCATCGTGCTAAGAACTAGGTGAGTTTTGCACATGTTGGTTGGGCTTCTATGGCACACGTCACCAATGTAGGCCGTTCACCACTCCAGAAGGGTTTGGAAGACACTTCGGGTTAGGTTTGTGCTCTGTCACATCATGTCACATCACAGTCATCCTCAAGCAGATGGAGTCCATGCAGAATATGCATGCCCCAACATCGATCTACTCGGCGCACAAAAGGCCGCTAAAACCTGGAGGGTTTCCCTAGGTTTCTCTACTTACTGTAACCCTCTTGTGTATGCAAGGACGCTATTAGGTGGAGGCCATCTCAAGCAGGTTGGAGGCCATTGCTAGTCACCAGAAGCTACTCCATATTTTGCCATCTCTTCCTCTCGTCCAGTGGACACCATGCGGAGGAAGCGGACCTCAAGCTGAAGGGCGTCACTGGGTCGACCGGAGGAAGCGGCCGGCGACCCTCGAAGGGCTCCTTCGGCGTGGGCTCCGTGATCTACGGAGTGGATGGCTGCTCGGGAGCATGCGGAGGCAGTGGGCTACACCCAGTAGTAACAGGTGCCTTACTAGTAGTAACAAGAAGCTATTAGAAACAAGTGCCACGCTAGTAGTAACAGGTGCCTTACTAGTTTCAGCCAAAGAGCCTCCACCAAAAAGAGGTAATTGTGTTAGGTGTCTTCATTCTTTGCATGTGTGTATATATATAATACTTCACTTGGCGGACACTACAGCACTGAGACTCTTTTCTGGCTTGTGGAAGATATGGGGCTTGATGGACCTTCGTGATTTTGAGGCACCAAGTGGGGCACGGTGGTGGCAGCCGAGGGCGGAGTGCAACTGGCCTGAATTTGGCCGCCGCATATGCCTGCATCACGACATAAAGGGGTGATACCATCACCATAGGACAACAGGCAGCAATGAAGCATGCTTGCCGCTGCAACTTGAGGTGGAAATTGGACTCTGGCCGCATTGCCAAGAAGCATACTGAAGGTGACAAATGGACATGGGCTGGTGGTGCCACAACCAAAGGTGATGAAGGCGCATGCAAATACTTCCAGAGTGTGGCAGATATGAAGAAAAAGGCCAATGTGAAAGATCTCAGCAACTTGGCTTGCAGATTGCCCTGACCAAAAGCACTAGAATGGCAGTTTTTTGATGTTTTTTGACAGTTCTTTTCTGGGTATCTAGCTAGCTGTTTTGGCCTAGGCCCCCGGACACTGGAACTCTAATGTTTTCTGATTGTCGCGGCTAAGGTGCAAGGCTCACAGGCCTGGCCAAACCAAACGACATACATTGGAATGCCGTGCTTTACTTCAGGAAGTTCATTTCGCTTGGCCAGTGTGGGACAATCAATCATTTGTAGAGAATCCGCATGCTGTAGCGCCTTGAACATAAGGACAATCATGGAAAATCGACTGCGTGAAATGACATAAAGACGATACATAAGCACCGTACAAGTGCGTTGTTGGATTCTTAGACCAGGTTTTCACTTTGGAACCTGTAAGAAGAACACCTATGTCCTGGTGGTGTATTGCCCAGTCGTTGGTGCCCTGGAACTCTCTGGAAATAGTGAGCAGGACGTTTCCTTTGATTGAGGGACTTTTGCGATCTTTTGTCAAGGAAAGCATGTCACATGTCAGGCTATTCTGATCTCATGGCCCTTGCCGGGAAGGCACGATGGCTTAGATGTTGAGCACTTGTCACGAACAGGTCAGAAAATACAACTGGCACTCTTTGGTCTGAAAAAGGCCAGCATCCCCCAACCTGACTGTGCAACGTGCGCCAGCCCCCAAGATCAAGCTGACCTGACGACGGCGTAGGAGAAGGATGCAGCGAAAGCTTTCGACGATTTGCTGCCATTCCTGCTCTCCCGCTTTAATGCAGAGCAAGAGGGTGGTCGATCGCACATCCTGTCTGAGCTCTTTGCGAACAAAAAACTGCCAGATGATCTTTGGGAGGACTGGATAGTGGTCACTGCTGCCTAAGAAAGCTGGTAGCCTTCTTAGCATCTATATAAATGGACCAGCTTGGGGTGGTCCTTCCCGTACTGGTTCTACTCGCCGGCAAAGTGCCTTTTTGTTTCCAAGCTGTTCTAGTTGACCCACATGAGCAATCCCACCATGTCAGTGCCAGGAAAAGTTGGAACACCTGAAGAACTTCTGGAAGGTTAGTAGCAAAGCACGGGAGAGTGCCAGCTTCTGGGCGGAGTTTTCGTAGGCCGGTTTCAGGAGCCGGTAATGTGGGAACACAAGGAGCGGTCCGGTTTCCAGTCCCATTTGGCATAAGCAAGAATCTTCACAAGAAGCGGTCAGGTGCCAATGGTTGCTTAGAGAACGCCAGACATGTCATGTCAACACCATCATGACCGCCTGGCCATATTTGGCCCATCGTCATCATCATCATCATCATCATCATCATCGATGTCTTTGGATTTCCTTCAGCCCATCATTTGAGAGTTGAAGCTTTGGAGCTTCCTGACGGGGATGCCCAGCTTGATGCGGGTTCTCGTATGAGGGCAGAGGGGCAGGGCAAACGGCGCGACATTGTATGATTTGTATGTCACTTGAAAATGCGGCCATTTTGAGGCCTTGCAAGTGAGAGTGCTGATTCTCATGTGGCCTAACTCGACTTTCATGCGATTGGAGTGAGGCTACCAGTGCAGTTGGAACAAGTGCGGTCGTCATCTTGTCGAGAAGACGCTGGAGAACTGGGGGAAGCCCATCAAGGACGGATCGAGTGGAGTGTTGGCGCGTCCCGTGGGTCTAGTCTCAACCAGAGCTGGAAACACAAGCCTCGGGCCCTTGGCTGATAGACGAGCGAAAGAACACACTGGAAATCCACTGACCACGCCCTCTCAGATGATTGGTGATAAACTCCTCGAACGCGCGGCTGCCAGATGCAAATTCCACAAAGGGCCTATTTGCCCCTAGGCCGAGAATTCATTTCAAGTGATGGCTGCTTCTCCCAGTGTCTAGACTTCAGGAAGCAGGTGCTCTGATAACGTGGCCCGCCAGGACGGCGAGCCAGCGCCGGAGTACCCCACTGAGTCTTGTTTGTTCGGCTTGGAGGTGAGCCCAGAGCTTGACTTGCCAGAGCTCTTGGTGTTGCTCGGCCGCCGGGGGAAGGCTTTTGGTGTGCTTTTTTGGCTTTGGCCGTGGTGTATGGAACAGGGAGTAGTCATGGTTTGTCCATAGCCTCATCCGATCGAGAAGGGGTCGACAAGGAGGATAGGCAGAGAATGCTGGAATTATAAATTATAGGCATGCAGCGCACGATGTTCGATATGGGAAAGCAGTGAAAAGAAAAACTGACGCCCAAGCGGAAAACCGTGAAGAATATTGGGACACATAAGAACAGCAGGAAGACGTCAACTGGAGAAACCTCCAGAACACACATTTGACAGGAGTTTGCAGAAAGAAACCGAAAAGTATCGAAGAGTGAAGACATGCAACAACAGATATTCGTGGAGAAGCGCAGACTTGCTGCACGTAGGCCTTTGTGCGCTCTTTTTTTCTCTCTCGTCTGGGCAGATTCAACCAAAAGTGGTCCCAGTGCTGCTTTCGCCTCAGCGCATCGTCTTGAGGAAGTGCCATCACAAGATCGAGACACTCAAGGCTGGGCGTAGCGACAATACTAAACGCATCATCTATATAAAAACTAAATGCCGGCAGATTCGGAAGATTGTTCCTAATAGCTTCT